CGATATATTTTTGTCAAATTTTTATGATATCGTCAAACATATATTTTATTCAAAAATAAAAACATTATCGCTTTCTCAAAATCACATAAAGTCATACTATAACATCGACTGAGATAAAGAATAAAATGAAATATTAAAAACACGATGTATCTCACTGCATTGCGCGAGTACTCTTCTAGTATAACTAAATACCTGTAACATCAATCCAATAATAATATAATGTTGTCTCACTCTAATACAAACTCAACCGATGAGCCAACAGTGCGGCTGTTTGAGAAGGAGGTGAAGGGGCGGATTAAGGTGATTGTCGAGGCAAAAGAATCATTTGGGCAAAAAAAATTGGAGTTCAGTTTTGAGTTGTTTCATTTTTTATTAACCACAGGTGTCTGACCAATTTGTGTGCATCACAACTAATACCCAGAATCTGAAGAATAGCTAGAAAAATCACTATCTCTTGATATTGAAGAAGATGGTTGATATAAAAAATATATGAATTTATAAATGAATTAGATTATAAATTTTTTGATACAAATATATTTTAAAATTATTTTTAGGATATGTCATTTGCATGTCAGTAAATAATATTGAATTGTATAATACATCATTCGCCATGTTTATAGTAACTTGTTAAGGCCTAAACATGTTACTCACTTACTTAAATGTTTAAGATGTCGCATCTTAGACCATCTCCAATCCAACCATTACAGATAAAATACTAAAAACACCAAAAAATAGTGGGTCAACTTCGATCACACTAAAAAACAATACTGAAAAACATCTTTAATATTATTATAATAATAAAATAATATATATTCATAAAAACTTAATATTTGATTAATATTTGATTTATAGAGACCAATTTTATTGACCTCCAAATATAGATGTCATATTTGAAAAACTTCATCTTTTTAATATTTTAACGATAAACTGAAGACGAAAACACTTTGTTTTTTGTGTTTTTAGTATTCGGTTGAAAATGACCATAAATACCAAAATTAACCTTTTAAAAATACATTATTTAAAATAAAAAATTATATCAAATTATATTATATTCTAATGCAATTATTAATGATTTTCATGTAAAGGTAATCCAGAATTTAAGCATATGCATATTACCTGTTTGCATTATAATAATTTACTATTTCTTTTATTAAAGAAAATATATTTTAAACTATCGTATATTTTGGTACAATAATTCTTTTGAGAAAATGACTGCATTTTTTTTATCTGTTTGTTAATAATTAGAATAAACTATGATTTTCGTCCCTGTCTTTGTGAAAGATTGTGATTTTCGTCCATGTGGTTTTGAAATTTTAATTTCCATTCATATGGTTTGTAATATGTTGTTGATTTCGTTCCTATGGTTTATAATTTGTTGTTGTTTTCGTCCTCGAAACCAAATCTATTATAAATCGTCTATTTAACTTAGGGGTATTTTAGTTTTTTTTCTTTTCGGTTTATTAAATAATTTTTTTGTCTATGAACCTCTTTTATTAAAAGATATATAGTTTTTATCAAAACAAAAAGACAAAATTAGCAAAAAAGAAACCAAAAAATAAATTTAATAAACCAAGAAAGAATAAATAAATAAATAAAAGACTAAAATACCCCTAAGTTAATGAAAAAGTTTTAACATATTTAGTCTCAGGGAAGAAAACAGAATAAATTACAATCTTTCTCGAACCATAATGACAGAAATCATTGTTTACTCAAATAACTAATAAAAAGACAAAGTCTTTGACGTGTAGCTCCGTTAACAAATGAACGAGACAACCTTTTCAAATACAATACATATTCCATATTTGATCTCGTCTTTCACTAGCCTTAATTAGTAAACCCAAAAAATGTAAAAAATACAAGATCAAAAGTACCTGGAGGTCCCATGTTCAAATTCAAGGAGGAATAAAAATCCTCTTGTGACCACGAAGGTTCAAATACGGTGACTTCGGGCTATCTGTAAAGCAGGTGGTCGCCATGGAATTAGTCGATTCGCATAGCAGGTTGGATATCTAGGTTAATCAAAAAAGAAAACCCAAAAAATGTCTCTTTACAAAATTAAGTATGAGACTGATTGAATTTGTTGGTGACCAACATTTTACTCAAATTAAGTAACTTAATAAAACAAAATTAAAGGAGTAAATATGAGTGGTAAAGTGGTAGGTGCAATTTAAGTATCTTAAATGCGTCATAAGTGACACAAACCAAATAACATTTTAATGATTAAATAATTTAATTACATTATTCGTCGTAACAAATACTCCATTATTATTCATCCATTATTCAAACTTATAATAACGTTTTTTTCACATATTTATTTATTATTATTATTTTCATATATTATTAATCATTTCTCTTGTAAATCAGCAAAACTTCACTAACCATCGTCTCATGATTAGAAGTTGAAACCGTATGATTGAATGGAAGAAAACCAATAGTCATGTTTTAATGGAGGAAAACCGGTAGTCGTGAAAATCGCTACAACCCTGTAATAAGTAGCGTAAATGTTTTTATCTGTTATAAGATGAAGATGATCTACTCACCAACAGACCTATTTAATGCATCTTGGCAAACTTTAAAATCAAACTTCACATTAAGGATATGTCCGATTCAAAAGTACTATACTTTTTATAGTCTTTCTTTATGAATATTTTTATATCTATATAGAATTTTTTTTAATAATTAATTATTATTTTATTTTTATTTTGTTAATTGTTATTACCTTTTTCAATTATATATATATATATTAGTTATATATTTTTTATTATATTGATCAAACATTATATAAATGAATCGAAATTTGATGATCAAGTTCATGTGAGATAAAGTAGATGACATCTGTGACAAAATGCTATTAAAGTCGTGACAACTATTTTTCTAATATTTCATTGAAATTTTAATATATTTTGTAGAAACAATATATTAAACTAAAATATCTATTCGATTGATACCTACAATTGAGTTAAAAAATGGGATATGTTTGGTGTTATTTCCTATTTAATATTTATTGAAATGTTTTTAATATTTAATAGCTAATTAAAATTTTTGTTTAAATAGCATGTTATATTAAAAAGTCATGTGAGTCTAAAATTTTATATAATCATCATCTTCATCTACTTTTACATATCTTCAATCAATTTTATATGTATGAATTTGTTAAATAATTATCAAATAATTATATTTTATTTTGTATTATATTATAAAAGTCTTTTAATTATTTTATATTAAATCATTCAGCAACTGTAAAACAATTTTTAATTTAATAAATTAAGAAAAAGAAAAGAAAAAAACTGGGAGGAGGCAAAATCCAGACGTAATTAAAAATCTTTATTTTTTCTCCCCTCTCTCTGTTGCTGTGCTGTGTGGGCTACTATTTAATAATTTAGATAGATTCATCAGTTTTTTTTAAAGCTTTCTCTCTTCCCAACCATCACCATGGCTATCAAGTGATGTATTAAACAACACAAAGGGAAAACTGGGAACAGGATGAGAGAGATCAAGGGTGCTCCCAAGCATTCATGGTCTCACTTTCACTAACTTATTACATGAAAAAACAGCTTCTGAATCAACAACAATGGCAACTTTGCAAGAAACCCATCTAGATTTAGAGGCAGGTGGTGGTGGTGGTGGTGGTGGTGGTGGAGATGCTACCCATCGTCAATCAATCGCCAGCAGTGCCGGCGACGGCAGCTCACGGTCATCGGATGCTAGTGAAGAAAGTACTACAGCTACCACTGAGATTGTAGGGGTGGTGTCGGAGGAAGAAGAAGATAAAGGCAGGGAATCCTGTGTGTCAGAGTTCTCGGTGGTGGATCTGGAAAACGGTGGTGGTGGTGGTGGTGGGGTCCATTGTGATGAGGGCAGTAAGGTACATTTGTCAAAAATTGAAAGGGATTGTAGAATTTGTCATCTGAGTCTGGATTTAACCAATCAAGAGTCTGAGAATGGGATTCCCATTGAGTTAGGTTGTTCTTGTAAAGATGATTTAGCTGCTGCTCATAAGCATTGTGCTGAAGCTTGGTTCAAGATTAAGGGAAACAAGTAAGTACCCACCAAGATTCCATTTTTATCAATTTTTTCAGATACCCATCGCCATTTTTCCATCTTTCATGCTCAAACTTCTGTTTTCATCGACAAAAAAAGAACCAAATCCTCCCTAGATTCAGTTTCTGTATGCTTCTCATTTGTTGCTTAGAATGTCAGGTGCTCAAATTCCATGTAGGGTTGATTTGGGTTTTTGTTCTATATTAGAAATGGTGTCATCTTTGTGTGTGCTTGCCATTTTGAGTCCCTTGATTTCTGGTTTTGGTCCACCTTCCGTACCAAAAACTTACCTTGTTTTCTACAGTTTCTGGGTAAATTAAGAGCTAAATGTTGGTAATTATACAGCCAAAAAGAGCTGTCCAGGTGCAATGTAGACAACAAACAGGAGTCAAAAATGAGGACTGAATACTTCATATGTGGAGTCAACACTTTATTGAGGGAAAAGAAGGAATAATTCAGGGAAATTAAGTCCAAAAAAGCAGGTTATATAAATGAGAAGAATCTAACAGCTGAAAAAGAAGTCGGCAACCTGTAATCCTGTGTTTGTTTTATGTTTGAAAAACTTCGAATTGGTTTGTTCGCCTTTTAGTCGTGCTGGAATTTGCTTTCTTCATATCCTTTTCGCTTTCCTTTCGTTATCTACAAGTGGCCTTTTGACTCAAATCAACATGAGCACTTTTAAAAGCTTCAAAGACTCTTTCATATCGCACTTGTTCATATGATACGACGTATGATTCTTGTATTTATCCTTAAAGACGGGCATCTTTCCTAGTGTTGGGGTCCTGGTTTCATGGACAAGATCACCTCCAACGATCTTTTTGATAGTTGGATTCATTTGTTTGCCAAATTCGAACGTCATTATATTATAATCGATCACATTTCCCATTGGCGAATGGTACACGATTTCTTTTAGTTTCTAAAAACACAAGTGGTTCAAGCTTTGAACCTGTCCTTTCTTTGCTTTTTATTGTTTAATCTGAGAAAGTTGACACTTCTTATTCCTTTTTTTGCTTTACTTTCTCGTCGCTGCTTTCTTGTTGGACTAAAGTAGATTGATTCAAAGTGCACAACGAGTTAAAAACAAGCAGGCGAATTTGTTATATGTGGTTGTGTACATGTTTGGAGCTCACAATGCTTTGTTCTCCTGTTGGTTCCTACAAAGTTTGTCAAAATCTTGGATAATTTCTATGTTTGTCGTATGAACATTTTCGTAACAAGAAAATTGACTGTCATCCTGATACAGATGGAGTGTAGACTCCAAGGGTCGGGTTCATTTGAGAAACAACTATTCATAAAGTAATTATGATGAATATCATGATAGATATTCATCATGAATATCATGAATAATGAATAATATTCATTGTGAATAATTGGTTTTCATGATCCTTATGGTTCTTAAATGTATTTTCCCCTAGATCCAATATACATATATAATCATTCAGATTCATATAGATGATCCATTTTTTGTATGGTAAGCCCATGAATATAACTTGCATACGATCTTTCTTGCACGCTTGGTGTTTATATTCGAGTCAAATGGTATACTAACTTGAGTTGGTTCAACCTAAACCCTTAGAACATGTGAGATATGTGGATCAATTGCGCATAATGTTGCTGGTGTGAACGAGGCTGAACTAATGGAACAGTGGAACGAAGCTAATGATGGCATATCATCAACGGCTACTGCACCTGGTGGGAACACCGCCTCATCGGACACTCGAAACTTCTGGCAAGGCCATCGGTTTCTCAACTTCCTGCTAGCGTGCATGGTTTTTGCCTTTGTCATCTCTTGGCTCTTTCATTTCAACGTTCCTTCGTGAAAACAGTCGTGTAAAGTGGGTGATATCCAAGGAAGAAATTCATTGAGGTACTTCTTTGCTAGCTACTACTGCATCTTTTTTTTTATTGTATCGAAGAAATTAAATGGATCTTTCGTGTTGTTGTCGTCGATAGTGTAGCATTCATGTGTTTCATTAGAGCTTGTATCGGTTATTACTTTAAGATGTGTATGAAATGTTCGTTCTTATATTGGTTCCGAGGTGGGGAGGAACGATTCCTTTGGGGATTGGACTTTTATGGACCGTAGGCTCTTAAGCCACCCAACAACGTAGCAAACCGTTGTATATCTGATTTGCCTTTCACATGATGTTCTTGGAGCAGAATGACGTGAGTCGACTCGAGGGTTGTCGGTTATAAACCCTTTTGATGGGTTGAATTGATGTTATGGTTTTCTTGTTCCTTTCAAACCCATTTAGATTGGAATGGATGAACACTGTTTGGGCATGGGCATTGTATGAGTGGTTTCTTGGGCCTTCTTTCATTGGGCTTATAAGCCTTCTTCTTTTGGGCTTAAGGTGTTGAATTTTTTTATTGATAAATATAATTATTTTACACCAACCGGTTGGAAATGAGGAAGATTGTTACAGTTAGATCGAAATATTATTATACATAATACGGATTTAAAATAAAAATAATGTTAAAGTTGTTACCAATCATATGATTGATTTGTATTAAAGATTTGGAGATTTTTCTGATTGTTATAACCAGGACTTCATAGGATTAGTCGAGGTACGTACAAGCTGTTCCATATACCTTCGGTTACAAAGGTATCATTTTGATACTTCGACAGTAATATGAAGGCGTTTTGTTTAACTATATCAAAGCAAATGTTATATTTATTTTGTATGAAGGAAGAACAGTGAATAAAAAACTCAAAATAAAAGCAATTATCGTTGGTTTAAAAAAAAAACAAAGTCAATTGCATATTCAAATAAAAGTATATATCACTCTTACAGTTTATTTTTTGTTTGAATTACAAGGATGCATTTGACATGTTGGTAAGATTGGACATAAGTGGACGAGACTAGATTAGACAGATAGGAATGACAACGGGTCAGATTCGGGCCGGGTATTGGTATCCCCGTCCTTGAAACCGATAGCTAAAACCGTTCCGATCCCCGTCTTGGATCTTATCGGGGAACATCATCGGGTCTTTGCAGTTTCCCGATCCCCGTTGGGGAACCCGTTAAGGGTAAAAATCATTTTTTTCACCGTTAGTTACAACCGAACCCGAACCCGGAACAGATCTGCAAAAAAATTACAATATGCTAATTTTCACAATTAAAAGTAAATTACAATTTTTTAAAGATGTAAGTTTAAATGTCTCAAACATAATCGAACCAATTACAAACAATATATTAGAATACAACATAGAACTAAACAGAAATTCAAATATCATACAACTAAAATCACGATTTTAGACAAATAAACTAGACTTTTTTGTTAGCTTTATTTGAGTTGTTTAAGTAAAGTGGATAAAAGTTTTTTAAATTATAATGTTACTATTTTCTTTTAATGATATTATATATATATATATATATATATATACACACACACACACACATATCGGGCCGGGCCGGTGATCACCGTCCCCGCCCCCGTTAAAATCCCCGAATTTAACCCCGATCCCCGCCCCGTCCCGTCCCCAAACCCGATCTGAAAGTTTCGGTTTTCGGTTTTCACCATCGGTTTCGGGTTTTTTTTTTGCCATCCCTATAGACAGACAAGAGTGATGTAGGCGGTTACAAATGTATCATTTTGGTAAGAGCAGTTTGATAATTTATTTATCTTGTCTCGTCTTTGCTATTTTTGTACCATTACACCTTTTCTGTAGGACACTAAAAAATGGGTTCTTTTGTCCCACCCAGTCTTTTAATGTCATATCAAACATGAGACAACAAGTTTTTATTCTGTCATGTCTCGTTCAACATATCATACCAGATGCACCCTAATATAACTGGTGATGATTCGTATAATGTAGTTCCAATTATTTACATATATAGTTCATATTTCTTTTATTTAAATATATAAAAATAATTTCACATTTTTTATTTAATTTTTCTATGAAAGATGCAGCAATGAATTAAAGTTGAGGTAAAATTATTAAATGCGCCGAACAAATCTATGATTGTGCGACATTAATTATAATAAGCCGGATGATGTCTTTTAACATGCAAATCATTAATCATGCTCATGTCTCTCACCCTTTTTTATACCTTAGATTTTTTTTCCCCTTTTCGTAAATCATTTTTATATAATTATTTTAAATATTTTTTTTATTAACCTGAATATCCAACCTGTTATGTTATTTTAAATATTTTTATGGCTTGAAAATAATATATTCAGTTGTAAATTATTTTTTAAAGTACTGTGTCAATCTCTTGAGATGTCTGACACGATTTTTTGTTTAAAGTTGCATCTTATTTACAAGTCTATCTTGTCATCTGATATGGACACGAAATGCCACTGAGTATTAGACTTTAAATATCGTTGATTAATTATATAATTTTTAAAACCGTTACAAAAATTATTCAACTCCAAAGACATGTTATGAATTTCTTATAAAAAATAATCAAATTTGGAATTATGATATTGATAAAAAATAAGTCGTCTAAAAAGTAATTTGCCATAATAGATATGTACATCTTATCTAATACAATGAGATGGGTGTTTTTAGGTCGAAGTTTAGATGTATGGATTGGTTTCTACTCTAAGAATAGTTTTGCTGGTAAAATAGGTTCAAGGCCAACATCCATCAAACCACACTCAACTTTTTGAAAGATCGTGTTATAACTACCATATGTGTTTATTCTATACTAGAAGGGTGTTTGTATAATATAGCAAAATATATTTTTATTTATTAATGTCGATATAATAGGGTTTTTAGTGGTTTTGAGAAGACGATGATGTTTTTATTTTTGAATAAAATATAAATTTAAATATATGATGAAAATTTGGAAAAAAAAAATATCGATGTTAGTATTAAATTTACTATTTAAAGTTATGGTTTTTTGTGTAATTTCTTTAATTCAATATTTTATTTATAGTTTAATTTAGATTTAATAACGTAGTAATTTATTTATCGTTTAATAATATAATTTTTATAAAAATAATAATTAAGTACTTTGTTATAACTAATGATTTTTCTAATTATATTTTAGATTTTTTATATTCAAAATGAGATGTATATCTCGTATTTAATTATATTTATCTATAGTTAGTTACACAAATTCAAAAATAAAACTTTAATAAGTTGTACTTACGCACAATGTGATCTTGAATTTCAAGTAATATGCTTCAATAAATAATACTCTATGCATAAAAAAATGATTTTTAAGAATTTTTGTTAAATGATTTATAATATAATATAGATAATAAAAGTGTTGTATATGATTATTCAAAATTGTGTAGCTGGAAACACATACATTTGTACCAATAAACAACTACAATGACAAATTATGAGTTGAAAACTCGAACTCAACTCAGTGTAAAAGGTGATAGATTACATGTTTGGATTTTATGTTGAATGACTTTCAATCATGTTTTAGAAGAATCTTTGTGTTGATTTAATGCTTTTATATCTCTTTTATTATTATCTCAACATATACTCTAAAATTTATAAGCAGCCCACATATATAACTGATACATTCATAATCACATTCGTATACAGGTTTTATTTTTTCCCTGTATACGTATAGACACGAAACACATGTTTGTTAATTTATAAGGTCGTCTTTGGATTATTCGTATGATAATAATAATCATTTGAATAAAATCGATAATACGTATTTACATGAATATTTCTGAATCCTATAAATATAAAAAACTATATTTGTATTTTGGTATGAGGAATAAAAACAAATATTAGTAAGAGGATTCGTGGTTCGTGCAATCATGAATTTTGGAGGGAATGCTTAAATCCTAAACATGATGAGAACGTGAATAATATAATCATTATTATTAACATTCCTATTGAAAATTTATGGTTTATATATTGTTGGATTAAACTTCAATTAATTATCTTGGATATATGTTGGAACCTTCCTTATTTTCTTAAGGGATCTTTTTGTGTAAGTAATTTAATGGAGTTCTATATTTTTTTTACATGAATTAGAGTCAAGGTCTACCATCCTATGTAAGGGTGTTCATAGGTTGAGTTGATCGGGTTGAAGACATTTGAACAACTCAACCTAATGCTTGCGGTTTTAGAAAAATCTTAACCAAAGTGCAACCCAACCCAACTCGTACGGGTTGGTCGGGTTGATATTTTGGTATATTAAAATATTATTCTAACCTTGAATATGTTATTTCTCTACTTATAAATTCTTTTTCACCATCAACTATTTGATACAACTTATTCATATTCCTTATGTATATCACATTCAGTTATTTTTCTCAATTTACATATATATGTTTACAGTTACTGAACATATATAAGAATGAATTATATAAAGATATGAATAGATTGAAAATATGTTTATATGAAAAGCATACATGATAGTGTAATTGTCTAATTTATATATTAATAGAAATTTAACAATCATATTAAATCCAAGAAATAAAATGATATCGGGTTCATCGGGTTCAAATAATAGTAACCCAATATCTACGGTTTGACAATTTTACAACTCGATTAAACATCGGGTTGTTTCGGGTTGGGTTATTCCGTGTTGGGTTGGGTTGATCGGGTTTTTGAGCACTCCTAACCCTATGGACTTGAGGCTCTGAGATAGCCTATCTAGTCTCATTAGACACCTTGGGACAATTTGTATGCGTTTAACCTTTGTTGAAGGAGACGTTTTAGAGTTCTACATAAGCTAAACTTGGACTATTTCACATGCACACACATGACACATGTGTGTGTATATATATACAGGAAATGGTTCAATTGAGAAAACATATGTTTTACGAAAATGCGAGAACATTTCTGAGCCTCTAAATTAATTAACAGATAATAAAATTTAGAATAAATGAAAATTAATTAGTATTTATCCATAATTTCTTGTTATTCTATATTTATCCTTATCTTTTAAATTTTGTTATTATCATCAGAGATTTTTTATGTCGATGCGTCCGTTGTCGATAATGATGTGATAATTATCTGATTTTACCGTGATAATAATGTGATAATGATATGATAAGTTGAAGACTTCTTATGATGTGATAAGCATCTAGTAATTATGACAT